TCATTTTTTTCAACCGCTGCCTGCCTCGCCAAGCATCGCTTGCCATGGCAGCCTATCTGGTGACATGCGTAGCACATGTCCCAACCAGCGTAATCTATGGAAGTCGGCTACCTGTTCCAGTGGACGACCGCGATTACCTAAAACTACGTCTTGCTCGTCCGGTTTCCCCACTAGACTCGTACAATGCTACGTAGACAGCGGTGTTCGAACACCGACAGTCTATTTTTATCCCGTTCCCGTAATGACCAAGTCTCTGCGCCGTAAAGCATAACTGGCCGGACTGCTGCAGCATATACTCGACCCTTCACAGACAACCGGATGTCGCGACGGCACCACAGATGTCTCAAGTTGGCAAATGCCAACCGAGCTTTCTGTATGCGCGCCAACACTTCATCTATGATGCGTCCGCCAGGTGAGATAAAGCTACTCGGATAGCAAAACTTGTCTACCTCCTCTACAACTTCCCCGGTTAGGGTGAGGCTGGGTGCTGGGCCAACCCAATCGTGGAGCAGCATTTTTCACTTTGAAGGTGCAAAACGCATAACAAACATGGCTACACTGGCGATCAAGCTTTCCCAAAATAAGTTGCAACTTACCTGAATCTTCACTTAGTAGCACAATGTCGTCTGCATATAGACAGTCTGCCACCTGGATTAAATCGATGCCGCTATCCCCGCACGAGGATAGGGCTGTTTTCATAATCAAATCTATAACAGTAACTCTGTTAAATAGAGAAGGAGAGAGGACAACCCTGTCGAACATCACTATCTGTAGCGAACTCGGGTGAAAAAGTGCCGTATGCTCGGACTCGGCTTTGGCTATTATTATAGAAGGATTGTAATATTGAAATAAACTTCTCGGGCACACCCGGAAAAGGCAGCGCCAGAGTTTAGAGCGGTCGACTGAGTCGAAAGCCGCTTTCAGGTCGAGGAAGATGGAAATGGTGGGTCTACGAAAAGAGTCTGTGTTCTAGGATTTGACGAAAAGTAAAGATGTGGTTGATACAACCTCGACCGGGTCTAAAACCAGCCTGGTTCTCACGTGTGCACTCTTCACGAGCGGCAGACAATCGACGGAGTATGATTCCGACGAGAAGTTTGGTGGCAATGTTAATTAAACTAATTCCTCTGTGGTTTTCGCCTGTCACCTTTCTTGTAAATCGGTATGACCACCGACTCGCACCATTCAGTTGTATCCTGTTCCTTTTCCCACACTGAACCCAGGAGTTTTTTAAAATCCTAAACCAAGGCCAGACCTCGATCCTTAAAAACCGATGAAGACAGCCCGTCGCGGCCGGCAGCCTTATACCTTTTGAGATGGCTTATTTCTCGGGTAACCTCTATTTCAGATGGAGAACTGATGTCAACTGGCAGTATTTGCACAGTTGAATCGGGTGTACACAAGTCTTGTGCTGACGAGGACCAGCTGAACTGAGCCTTAAAATGTTCTGCCCGTCGATCTGGACGGCGTTGCTGAATATGGATCAGTATGCCGTCGGACTCCTTGATTACCTCACGCCTGCTTTCCTTGGACATGTACTCCTAATTCATCGGAAAAGATTACGACTTACCGATAGCCGCAAGCTTCTCCATCTCTCCACTTTCCTACCCACCACTTCTCGCGGTCATTCCTCAGACTCTTGAGGAGCTGGCGCTTAAGGGATTTGCGTGCTTTGTCGTATTTTGAATCTGGAGGAATGGCTTTGCGAGCGTTCAGCAGGGCAACCGAAGTCGGGGAGATCCATCGTTCTTTATTTGATCGTGAGTCAGAATTTGCTGTTGTTTCGATTGACATTTTGATCGCTTCCTTGATTGCCGTCCAGTGCTAACTGAGTCCTCCGGCTGATGGTTGTGCTGAGAGACGATCTGATAGTTCCGCTTCGAAGGTCGATTTGCAACCATTGCTGACATTTTATCTTAGGCATCCGTTTTCGGTGGCTTTCCTCGTGTTTACTAGGTTTAGAGAGAATCTTGCTCATAGCAGAGCATGGTCCGTGTCCACGGCTGTTGATCAATCGGAGCTCCAGTCTTCCATGGATCCTCGCCAGCGGTGGCTGATGGCAATGTGGTCGATTTGAGTCCAGCGCTGTGAAGCGGCTGGCCGTCTCCATGTAAGATGGTGGCGTTTTTTATGCGAGAAGTTTGTGCTTGACAGAAACAGTCCGTGGTCAGCACAAAGTTGCAGTAGGCGTTCTCCGTTGTCAGTCCTGTTGGCTGCGATTGCAGGTGAACCTCCAAGTAACCTCTCTGATTCGTCCAGGAATCCCACTTGAGCATTGAAGTCCCCAGCGACCACCACAATGTCCGTTGACCCAGCACTTCGGAGCGGTTGAGAGAGGTCCTTGTAAAATTCATCCATTATTTCTGGTGAACTGCAATTTGTCGGTGCCTACGCGGATACGACGAATAAACATCGACGCTTCGTTCTGTAGCTGTTGACTCGTACTAAACCATCCAGACGTACGGCGTAAAGTCGGCTGTTAACCGGGATCCAATCGAGAAGTGAGCGCTCGGCCTTGACACAGCGCAATCCCAACACCAGCAACATCGCGAGCTTCGGATGTTGAATCGCCTGACACACGGAGAGTGAAACATGAGGATAAGGCTGGGTCTAGAGAACGCAAGATGATTAAAGTAGGGTCTTGCATGCGTGTTTCGGGGACAGCATTCATCATCATCTAAATGGAAGGGTTCTAGCTAAGGCGGCTTGTTGACCAATCTGATAGTGTGCGAACATTAAGTGCGGTTGAGTAGAAAGGAGATTTTGGTTCCAAAAATCTGATAGCCTCTGAGTGGATGGCCTCATTAGTTAAACACTAAGTGGGATCCGATGGGTGGCGCAAACCGGATGCGTCTCTCAAGGTATGGGAGTGAGTAGAGGAAATAGACAGTTGAAAAAGACCGTTCTCCAAATAGGTACCTAAGACTTTTGGGCACGGCCTATTTCGCGGTTGCCCACAGCGACGAAGGGGTTTTTCTTTGGGAACCCCAACCGGAGCCTTCGACTAAAAAGCATGGCCCACCAGGCAGTGAGGCGTAAATTCAACGCGGTAGCATGAACGAAGCATTCGTGTGGGAGCTTCTAGAGACCTCTCACGCAAGGTTTTCGGTTCAGTGTGTTGTTCACTGGTGCGTTGAGTATCGGTCCGCTTTTCGGGATCGGCCCTTAGTCCCATGCACCCAATGAGACAAGCGGAACGTGGACGGGACAGCACCTTATCATCTGGGGGCTGCCCAGCTTGGGCGGGCGGTAGCTGTCCAATGAAGTGTGAAGGCTTCTCCAACCGTCGAGGGGAAATCCCAGGTACCCCGTTCCTACGTCCATCTAACGGTTTTTTTGACCGGTGTTTATTTACTGGAGTGAACTCTCCAGGGGCGGATGTGGATAAAAAAGGAAGCCAGGAGATGACCAAGTAGCTGTGAGACTGATCTTCGTCTGGCTTCTACCTCTTGACCTTTCAGGCATAAATGGATCTGCGGCTGAGGAGCCATCCTGTATAGCTCGCAGGGTCATTGAGGCGCG